TGGTGCATGATGAACCTGATATTCCTCATCAAGAAGAAGATGGCACATCAGAGGATAACTTACCACCAGATATTGCAGTACCACAGCAAGGCAAAAGGATTAGGAAACAACCAGAGTGGATGAAGGATTATGTCTGTCACACAGCTTCCACTTCCACTGCACAAGATCTAGCCTTCTCAGCCAATATTCAAGCAGGGACAGAACCTACTCTTTATGAACAAGCAAAGGGTGACAAGCTTTGGGAAGAAGCCATGGATATGGAGCTGCAAGCTCTTGAGAAAAATGATACATGGGAACTCTCCTACCTACCTAAAGGGAAAAAGGCTATAGGATCAAAATGGGTGTATAAAATAAAAAGGAAAGCTGATGGGACAGTGGAGAGATATAAAGCTCGATTGGTAGCTAAAGGTTTTAACCAAGTGGAAGGGGTAGACTATTTTGAGGTATTTTCTCCCGTTGCAAAACTAGTTACGGTCAGGATGTTTGTGGCTGTGGCTGCTCAGAATAATTGGCCTATTTGGCAGTTAGATGTGAACAATGCATTTTTGCATGGACATCTCACAGAGGAAGTGTATATGAAGTTGCCTCAGGGGTATAAGAAAGGGCAAGAAGGACAAGTTTGCAGGTTGCTCAAGAGCCTTTATGGCTTAAAACAAGCATCACGAGAATGGAATTGTGAACTTTCGAAAAGACTGTTGGAATTTGGCCTGGTACAATCTTCTCAAGACCATTGTCTCTTCACCAAGGCCACTGGACATAATTTTCTGGCCATGTTAGTGTATGTTGATGATGTTTTGATCATGGGGACAGATCACAAACATATTTGTGCCTTGCGGACCTACTTGCATAATTTGTTTACAATTAAGGACCTTGGCATAGCTAAGTACTTCTTGGGAATTGAAATCACTGCAGTAGATGGAGGTGTACATTTATGTCAAAGGAAATACATTACTGATATTCTCCATGACATGAAATTAGAGGGGTGCAAAGCTGCTGGGACACCTTTGCCACAAGGTTTGCGACTTACAGGGTTTGATGGACAACCATTACAAGAACCAAATAAGTATAGGAGATTGATTGGGCGGTTGCTCTACTTAAACTTAACCCGGCCTGATGTGAGCTATGCTATACAACAACTTAGCCAGTTTGTGAATAATCCTTTCACTGATCATTGGGAGGCTGCCATATCAGTCCTCAAATATCTCAAGGGGACTACAAATCTCGGTCTGTTTTTTAGCTCATCTTCTAATAGTGACCTCTCAGCCTTTTGTGATGCGGATTGGGCCACTTGCAAAGATACTAGACGCTCTATTACCGGTTATTGTGTTTTCCTGGGAGGCAGCCTCATTTCTTGGAAGAGCAAGAAGCAGGTGACAGTTGCTCGATCTTCAGCTGAAGCCGAATATCGGGCTATGGGAACAACCGTTTGTGAGTTACAGTGGATATTTTGCTTGGCCAAGGATTTCCAGCTGCAGCCTCGCTTGCCCATCACTCTTTGGTGTGACAACCGTGCGGCTTTACATATCACGGCTAACCCCGTCTTCCATGAACGTACCAAGCACCTCGAAATTGATTGTCACATTGTGCGTGACAAATATAAAGCTGGTTTCATCATGCCTTCCTTCGTCCCATCTTCAGCTCAAATTGCAGATTTTTTCACTAAATTGTTGCCGCTCCCAATGTTTCGTCACTGGTTGGTCAAGTTGGGTGTGTCGAGCTCTTCCACACTCCAACTTGAGGAGGGGGTGTAGAAGCAGGTGACTTTGGATCATGCGTAGAGGACCACGCAGCCATTTCTGTTCTGTTTTCTTTTGTGTTTCGATCATTATGTTTGTCTTAGCAAGACGACGTCGTTTAGAGTGTTTAATCATAATTAAGCACACGACGTCGTTTTAGTCAAATGCATGTAAATAAAAGGCTTATGCCTGCTGAAACGATTTGACGTACGTAATGAAAATATTTTGCTTCTCAGACTCTTAGCTCGGTTTTCTACAAGTATGTCCTTAGCTATCGTACGTTTCTCTTTGCATTAAGGCTTGAGCTTTCTCATTTTTGCAAAGGACTTCCTGTAGCACACACTATTGTTCCTTTTCTGTTTCTTGTTATTCTTTTCTCTGCTTGTATATTTTATTTTTATTTTTATTTTTACCCCATTGCTTGCATGTAGATTAGGGGCCACTGCTCTTATGGAACTGATGATTGCTGCTGCAGTTGGAACATGGATTGGCTGTTGAGAGAGTGTACACTGGTTTATTTATGACCTCTCCTCGCTATTGATTTGTTCATGCAATGTTAAACTTATTCTTATGAGACGACACCTTTTTTGTTCTTTCTTTCTTTTCAAGATTTTCAATAAGTGTGATGAAGGCTGACGAAACAGTTTTGAAGCGTTTGGATGCCCCAACTAAAGCTCCGAATTGGCCTGTTGCTGCTGATGGTGAGATTATATATTCAATTCAAACATTTGTTTCTTATTTTTCTAGCTTTTGCTTCTGCTGGTCATTTGACTATATCATTAATATAGAATTTCCTTCCGTCTGCAAATTAGTCATGTCTTTCCTTATAATTCCATATAACAATGTTGTCTCATGCTAAGATTCCTATTCCTATTCCACCATGTCGTTTGAAAAAGAATGATGAGGTATCTTGAGAGAACTTACTCTTTGTGGATTTTACCATCTCCTGATTTTTTCTAGCTGTCCCTCAGATTGTTAATAGTGCAATTTTTTCAATCATTGACTTCTGTGATGGTTTATATTTTGATTTGATTTGGAATGTAACTTCAATAAACCTTTTGTGTGGTGGTGACATGCCCTTACATGACATTTATTTTATTCTTCATAGTTTTATGTAATAGCTTTTAGAAGCATAGCTTTCACTGAGTCTGAGTGTAGCTTGATAAATATCAACAAATAATAACCTGCCAAAGCGAGAATATGCATGGCTGACTGTTTTAAAACAACTACTATAGTTTGACTATCAGCTTTATGATTTTCCACATATGTCAATGCTTCATGATATTCCACATTTGTCTCCTGTTACATTTTCTTTTATATCTTGTTTATAAGATATGATGAAATGACTTAAATTTGATACCAATATATGTACCTTTCGCGATGCAGGAGGATGCTATCAAACTTGTTTGGTCAGGATATTGGCTAATGGCGGGTGAAATTTTT